TCTACCCTAGAACTTTCTCTTCTTTTTGTTTCTCTTGCCTTTTCATTTACCCAGTATACTCGAAAGTTGTTATACTTAATTGGTTTAGACTAAGCTGTTTTCATCTCTCTTTCTGTTGCAAATGTAATTATCACAGTTTTCCTTTGATTTCTATTTCTATTTGGCAGGATATAAACTGATCTTGCACCTTTGCTTCTTAGACATTATAATAATAGAATCTCTGAAGCATTACTCAGCAGCTCTGTTAACTTTGTTGTATACTGTCTTTGCTTTTGTCTTGCCTCATAGTCTTCTTCTCTTTCTGTTACTCTTACTAGTTTGTTGCTATTGACTGGTATAGACCACAAAATGCTTCTCTCTTCTATTTCTTCTATCTGAATTACTGCGAGAGACTTAAATTTGGATCTTTTAATTCTTGTCACTTGTGCTTTCTTGAATCTTTTGCAAATATATTCTAGTTCTTTTTTTATTTATGCTTGTTGATAAGTTCCAAATTGTTATGAACTTTTTGTCTTTCGTTTTTTTGTTATTATTGTTTCTTTGGTCTTCTTTTAGTTCATCTTTGTTTTTTTCTTTTCTATATTCTTCCCTTTTGTTATTTGGTATATTGGCTTTTTTATCTTGGTATTTTTCTTTTGTTTCTTTCTTCTTTCTTCAATATCCTTCTCTGGTATTATCCTGTACTAGTCGCTTTCTTTTTTCTTAATTTTTGTATCATTTCATTTTTGTTGAATTTACAATCAAAGTCCACTTCAATCTACAAATTTTTTTACTTAAAAACTTCTCTAATATTCTTAATATGTTCATTATCTTTTAATGACCAGCTAATAAACTTCATATACTCTTCTTTTGAACCTTCAGGCACATTGTGTGCAGAGATGTTGGCTAATAGACTGTTATCTTTATTACAGTTTCTTTTGCTTGGTGCCCACATACTTTCCTCTAAGAGGATTACTACTATATCTATTTCTTTTTCAATTTCTTGTTTTCTTCTTTTTCCTCTTTTTTTTTCTTCTATTGTTGAACCTTATCTCAATTTTTTACCATCCATTTCTATGTCTTCTTGTCTGGTCTCTTTTGTTTGTTCTTTTCTAGTTTCAGTTCTCTGTACCAATAATTTCTCTTCTATTCTATTTATGCTTTCTGTACTTACCTCTGTTCTTGCTTCTTTTGTTGTTCTGAGGTTCTCATCTAATAGTCTTCTCTGGTTCGTATCTTCTTTTTCTGTCTTTCTTTCAATTTTTTGATCTCCTTCATATATATTTTCTTGTTCTTTCTTTTCCTTTGTTGCTTCTTGTTATGCTGATTTCTCTGTTTCTTGTTTGTCTTTTACTTCAATCTCAATTATCATCATGTTTCTGTCTTGCTCTGTAAAGTCTAACTTCTTTTCTGGCTGTTCTTTTTCTGCTTTTTCAATCAATTCTCTTTTCACTTTTAACAATGCAACTTCTTTAGATTTTTGCTTTGTAAGCATTGCAACGATTTTGTCTTCTCTGTCTGGCATTATATATGTCATACTTGACTAATTGAAAAATATTTTATTGTATATTCTATTCATTGCCCAGTATGCTCTTCTCATAAAAATTGTTGATAGACTTTTTCTACACTCTTCTAATCTCATGTTATACTTATGTCTATGTATTTCTGATTGGTTCGTAAATTTTCTATTTACTCTGTTTTTCTTATACAAACTTTGTTTACTTGTTGCATAATCTGTCTATCTATTTTAGTTTGGTAGTTTACACATGCCTGTTTTGTTTTGCTGTTTCACATTTTTGTGTAATGTAAACAGATCTATGTACAGGTTCTGATAGCAATTCTTTACTATTGCTGTTTTCTGAGAAAATTTTCTAATTTTTTCTTCTTTTCTTTGTAGCTATACTATTATTTTGCAGCATACTTCTCTTCTATACTTCTTATTACTTTCTATGTTGCTGCTTCTTTTTATTTAGTGCCACTTAAGGTGTTTCTTATTACTGATTTTGCAGAAATCTTCCTTTTTCTTTCTGCCTATTTTGTGTCCAAGTGATCATCAGAAAGAGTTGCTTTAATTTATATTATATATATATTTTTCATACTTTTGTATATATATTTTAATTTTTTTTATTAATATCTAATAGTAAGTCTCAGATTGTCAGGTATTTTGATATTTTTGACTCTTCTAGTCTATTTACATGCAGCCTTTCAGTTTTTTTTTTCATCTTATTTTGCTTTTTTATTTTACTTTAATGTGTTTTTTTTTGTTTAGGCTCTTTTTATTTTATGTCTTTAGATTTTTTATTTTCTTTTTAATGTTTACTCTTCATTTTATGTTTATTTGTTGTATCTTTTTGTTTTTCTTTACTCTTTACTTGGTTTTGTGTCTTATCTAAATTATTTTGAATCAACTTTCATCTTTTTAATTTAATCAATTGATTACTTTTTCTCTTCTTTTTTTATACTTCAATTCAACTATTGTCTTTTATAAAAACTTTTTCAATCTTTATAATATGTCTATTTGTATTAAATATCCATTTTATATATTTGTTCTTTTTTCTTTTGTTCTACCTAGAATATTATAGACAGAAATTCTCATGGTTACTAGTATTTCATTATTGCATTATCTATTATCTAATGCTTAAATGTTTTGCTTTAGTGATACTTCTGTTACATCTCTTTTCAGTATTATTAATTCTTCTTTTTTGTTTTCTTTATTTTCTTCTCTTTTTCTAGTACTTGAGTTTTGTTATAAGTTTTTTTATTTCTTTTTGCTTTTTTTATATTTTGTTCTTGTAGTATATATTTTTGTTTTCTATCTGTTATTACCTTTTTCTTATTTGTTTTATATACTTTAAATTCTTTTTCGGATTTTTTTTTTTATTGCCTTTTGTCTTAACTATTTCTTTAGACTTGTTTATGCTTTTTGGTTCTTTTTTTTTTTGTTGTTACAAGTTATTCTCTATCTTAAAGCTAAAATCTTTTAATCTATTTTTTCTATCAATCTTTATAATAATTTCATTTAATATTCTTAATGCTACTATATCTGCTATATTTGCTATAAATAGTAATACTGTATATTTGTCTGTTTTTGTTTTTATAACATCTGTTATTTCTAGTATTTTGATTAGCTTAGTATTACCAACTTTCTATAAACTCTGTGTCATTAATCTTTCTAATATCTTTTCTAATAAACTCTCAGGTCTTATTTCATATATATTTCCTCTTATACTAATTATTGTTGTCTTATTTATCAGTTGGTTTAGTTTAGTTGTTTCTATGTCACATGCTTATTCTAATAAATTACTTCAATACATATATTTGTTTATTTATTTTATTTATTTATTGTATTTTCTGTATAATCTAAATTGATCTTTGCAACAAGATTATAGCGATTCTTAAAAATTTTTACAAAAATTTTTGTTTTTATTAAAATATTTGATTTTTCTAAGCTATGCTATCTCTAAGCTTTTTTTACTTATATTTTTGTTTTTTAACTAAGTGTAACATTTGTTGCTTTTTTTTTTTTATTAAGGGTCTAAATATTACTTCTTAATAGGTTTTATAATTTTTTCTATATTTTGCTTCTTACTGATTTTTTGATCAAAAGATCTACAAAAAAGAATATATCTAAAAATTTAACAAATGTACACAAAACATAATATGTTTATAGAAATTTTTATAGTGGTAATATATTGCAAAATCAATATATTAATGATGATCTGATATCTTATATTGTTGATTTAGGATTATCTAGAAAAAAAAAATAATTTTAATTTGAAAAATAGGTTTTACCTTATGTTGCGCCAAAGGTGTTAACAAAAACATATACAACAGTAGCTAATATTTATAGTTTTGGTATTATTATATCCGAGATGTTCACAAAAAGATCTCATTATGATGAAACATTAGTCATGAAAATATGTTATGGATTATGTTTTGAATTTGCTAAAAGCACTCCTAAATGCTATATCCAATTAGCAAATCGATGTATGAATGCTAATCCTTCTGATTAGAAGTTGGAACCGGTTTTAATCATTCGGGTTTATCACATGAATTTTGTAATATTTTGGAAATTTATCCAATTAAATTTTAATAAATTCTAAAATATCACAAAATTCATGTGATAAACCCGAATTATTAAAACCGGTTTCTCTAATCAACACTACTATTATAAGTCTAGTATCACCACCTAGGGATTGGAACCGCCTAAAATTTTACTTAATCGTTTAATCGTTTAACCATTTAATTTGGCCGGCATTAAAATAATCCCGGCCCATGACCAACATAATTCTGCCCGGAACTATGAAGCAATTTTTAAACGGTTAAACGGTTCCAATCCCTATCACCACCCCAAAAAATTTTGCCTTATAAAAAAATTGATTCGCAATTAGTTTAGGGTTAGAGTCCCACCAGTAGGTTAATGTTTGGTTTAAAGGGTCATAGTATAGTAAAATTTCGCGAGGAATTTTATTTGTTAGTACACAGAAGGCACTTTTAATAGGCGCCTTTTTGAGTTATACGGGATCTTGAAATCTGATTGGCCAGCGAAATTTTTTTGACTGGTGATTTATCTGCTAATTACACTACTATCGCTGAACTAATCGACCGAAATTAATAACGACCTTACCGCAAAGATAAATTCCCGTGATGTTAACTATGCAACGAAGTCATATAATATTATTTCTATGATTAATAACCTAACCGGGAAATGTAATGAAGTAGAGAGTTCTAATCAAATTGCCGCTGAATTCGAATCAGTAAAGCATGAATCGTAGAGGACCCGACCAACAAAGTGAGACTTCATCATCCTTCTCTGCCTGCCTTTACATTGTAATAAAATATTACTATCTGTCAATAAAGTTAGCACTTCATATTCGTACAACCGCCACGTGCATCACATTATTGAGCCAATCATATTTAAGATCATGCCTTTTCATATATTTTTACGCGTCGCGTCGCGTTGCTGATTAAAAACTATATAAGTAATAACGTTTTACGCTTCATACTTAATTATTTTCATCATGTCTAAAGCACTTTCTAAATGGTTAAGAAGTGGTGTCATTAAGCAAAACATAAAGGATACACTCAAATCTACTATCGACGCATTACATACTTGCTGTCCACAAAAGGTCACTCGTGAAGCTTTATATAACTCATTACGTGATATTCTATATAATGACAAACTATTTCGTGAAGAGTCTGAAATTCACATCAGAGTGTTTAATTGGTTTAAGGAAAAAAACTTGTCTTCCTCCAAACAGTCAGGTCCGTTTGCGGTATTCAAAAAACGGGTTTATGCATCTGCTGTTGGATCAACCGCGGTAGTTAATAATTACAAAAATGACTGAAACATTCCCCTCTACCAATGAAATAGTTATTTTCTTCAGTGATGAAGAGCAAGGTTCAATTATTGAACATATTCTTAATTTGGTTGAAAAGAAACTTAATAAATTCCTTGTCAACATAATTCCTTTCAATGTTGTAGAAACATTTGCTTCCAAACAACATCCTCCCATAAATCCGGATTTCAGCAATGCTGATACACAATGTATGCTCAATTTTATAATTGAAAATATCAAAAATTTTGAGAAATCGGTGTTCTACGGCCAACATAAAACAAATCCTGCCAAAATTTTCAACAACTGCAAAAAAAATGTAAGGAATAAAATAGCACATGGAATTGTTGTGGATGAAAATGGTCGATGGGGCGACCATTCGCTTCAACATGTCACTATTCTTGCATGTGAAGTCATTATCTGCATAGGTAAATAATAACATGATTTCTTATAAGAGTATGATGTGACTGAATTTTTTACGTTTAATGCCAGGTGGCGACTATAAAAAAGCATATGCTATCAAGGAAAATCTTGATAACAAAATTTTTCAGAAGTGGACGGTTAAAACAACTACTGAAGTTGCAAATAACTACTGTGAGAATCAGTCCCGACCAATAAAAAGAAAGTATGATCCAACGGATTTTTGTGAAATGACAAGATTTGTCCTTGAAATTCTAAAAGAGGTTGAAGAAACAAAAGAAGGAACTAAGCAAAAAATAATGAAATTAGCATTGAGAGAGGATGAATATATAACGTAAATCTGGAGGGCTGTTAATATGAAAGAGTGTAGAAAGAAGCAAACCTACGAATTTGTTGAATTTGTGAATATTGTGTTCAACGTAGTGAGTATCAGATGTTAGCTTTCTTACACGATGATTCCTTATATAAATCAATCACTCTTCATTTTCATTCACAGGACTTAAAGTGCAATAGTACCAAAGTGAAATTGGACTCTGAAATAAAAGCAGAAAAGGTGCATACGTGTGATAACTGTATAGTTGGCAGAGCGGTGTGTGGGAATAAGTTCTCGCGCAAGTCACGTCCAAGTCGACGTGGGTGCGCAACTTACTCGGAGAATAACTATGCCGTTGTTCAATGAAGTAGGTTTCGCTGGCATTTCCTGAGAAATGTGATAATTTGTAAAAGGGTTATTACAATTTTTGGTATCTGCTGGACTCGGTGGCTTAACGAGGGTAAATCCAAGCTACTTATTTCGTATATCGACTGTTGACTATTCAATTCATTATTTGTATGTACTTGTGTTGTGACGTTTTTTAACAACCATTCTTTTCTAGGTTGTAATATGAGCAAGATTACCGCATCACACTATGATGTTTGAGAAGAAGATTCTAAGGTATAATAAAAGGTTATAGAGAAAAGAGCATTCAAAACAAGAAAAATATTACTTATATATGTATAGGGTTCGTTTCTAACTTCATTATGTAATAACATTGCTAAACAATGATAGAGCAAGTGAATTATACGAAAAATTAGCAAATACAAATTTATGCCTTTGCACATATTTGGTAAAAATAAAATTATATGCATGTCTGCTATCGGATTAATCAATTTATTGTCTGGAGCGAAGTGACAGACAAATACTTTAACGCCCTTTGATAACCAAAAATTTGTTTTTGATTCATTTATATTAAAATATCAAAAAAAGTAGTTTTGTCATTTTCCGGATGTCACGCCGTGTTTTTATATAGTAAAGTTAAAATTTTACTAAGTAAATCGATTATATGCTACGTACGTATTAAGTAAAGTTGTTTAGGAGATCAAAATACATATAAGATAGCTGCGCGACACAGTCGCGCGAAACCAGGAACAGAAGTTAGTAAACATATTGGTTGTTGAACTATTGGGCATGTGTAGTGATGTGCTATATATACAGTACTCTATGTACTATACGTAGCAGAATTTTTGAAAGACTGCGCAGTGTGACTTTTAGAATTCAGGCTAGCTAGCATAATTCTGACCAGCTAGTATAATTTTGATCAGCTTGCATAATGTTGCAGGTGCACAGTAGCTCATTTTTAACTGTTTGGTAGTAGTGTTCATTTGATAAATTAATACAGTTACGCATTATTTGCCATAATTTCTTTGAGCCATAATGCTGTAGTGTCATAACTGTAATGTTACTATGTTAAAATACAATAATTATTGTATCTAAATATCATAATGCTATTGTGTTAAAATATTATGATACTGTAGATATAGACAGTCTCTTGTTGAATGTTGTTATAAAATAATTTATTACACAGTAAAAGAAGATTAGTATTTTATTGTTTTCTTTCATTTATTAAATTATTAAAATAATCTTGAAAAAGGTTTTTTAAACTTTAAACTGTTTTTAGAAATTGATTTTATTATTTAATTAAATAAAACTCTGTTATTTAAAAATTATATAAAATCCTAATACTTACAATTTTGAAGGTATATAATCCTGATAACAAAAACTTGAAAAACTAAAATCTCAAAAATACAAAATTTCAACTGTTAAAAATTTCAATATACAAAATTCTGATAATAAAATATTATAAATTTTAAATGCAAAAAATATTAGAATTAGTAGTTAAAATTTTGAATTTTCAGAATTTTGTACTTGTTAAGATTTTAGTATTTTGAAATTTGATATTTGTAAGATTTTAGTATTTGAAGAAAAGGTAGTAATGGGCCAAAAAAAAATTTTGTTGCAAACCTTTATTTTTGTAAAAATTAGATTATTTAGAATATAATATTAAAAAACTATAAAAAAAATTTTTTTGGCCTATCATTACCTTTTGTTATGAAGTTCCCATTTGAAGATTTTATTAAAATTGTGAACTTTATGTTTTTATATTAAACATTTGTCATTTAGTTACAATATAAAAACCTTTGACTTTAAATATTTTTTTAGATTATATAAGTTTAATTAATATTATTTTTTATTTTGTTTGATTTAAATACTTAATTTTATCTTATAAATATATAAAATGTATTATATTATTTAACTTAAATCTTATTAAAGATAGCAAATTTATTTTTAACATTAGTAATAAAGTTTTTTTTTTTTTAAATATTAAGGTGAATACTTGTAACCTAGGATTTTATTGATAGTATATTTGACTAATAGATGCTTTATAACTACAAAAGGCAATTATGAGAAGAGTATACAACTAGCTATTTGTACAACTTTAGTTATTGTTTAATTTAAGTAGTCTGCCCAAAGGTTCTATACTAGCTGCCATACCTGGAACCTGCTTGTAGATTCTCTATTTAACTACTCTGTTTCTGTATTCACCATCTACCTCTGCCTACTGTTATCCTATATCTACTTCTTTTAAGATAGTAGGTAACTAAAGCAACTTTAGACAATAAACACTTTTTGTAACTTTACTTGTTACTGTGTTATAACTAAGTCAAAAGGCATTTTATTTTAGAAAACTTAACAAAGAAGATTTAAGGCAATTTGCAATTACAAAAGAGGCTACAATTAAATATATATGAAGATACTAATAACTGTTTAGTTTAGGTACTATAAAGTAGTAGTTTATTAGTGAAATAGTATGAAGACTTGATGTTGAACTTAGGGTCCACATTGATTACTTTTATATTTTTTGGCTACATAGTATATGTAACAGCTTATATCTTTTACATATACAAGATATTTTACAACTATTATTAATAAAATAAATAAGATATGTTTGATATATAAAAT